TTACCTAATCAAGTGTCGACGTTTCTGAGAAAGTATTCCGGAGGCTCGATTGGCCCCATCCTTTCGATTCGGGTTGAGCTTCGTCTAGAAAAGAGCTTAACTTCAGCAGTCAAGGAGATGGCTGGGGCTGTCCTTCGACGGAAGCCCTGTACCTTAGGATGCTCGGTGACTTTATTAGAGGGAATGAAGAGGTTATCTGTTCGCACACCCGTCGATATCAGCGTTTCTGCCTCTCAGGCCCAATCTTCCATTCCAATCCTGCACCGCTTTCTTAACTGAATGATATTCTACGTGGGTTCATAGGGGCCGAAACCTCCAGTGGATTCTTTTTGTCCACCCTCCGCAAGAGCTTATGCCTTTCATTCAGGTCTACTAGTTTAAATGAGCGGTACAATTCTGTGTATTAGTCGCCGGGACCTATTAACTTGATCCAGAGTAGGACGACGGGCGAGTATCAAAGCGGCATCGATAGACCGATCATTTCCGCCTCATTCAACCAACACATAATCATCAACATCAGCGTGGGGGGGACAGGTGAGCCATGGAGGGTGATTTGTTCGGTCGCTCCTATTTGACACTCCTCGGCTATTAGCTGGCCGCCCACCGCCATCGTTGCTAACCTACTACTACGCACCTGTAATGGATTAAAGTCCAGACGGCTGATTGTTATCTATACCAATCGATTACGGTATGGAAGACTACGGTAGTCCAGTCTAGAAAAAAAACAACATTGCGTATTCTAAAGTTAAATGGAAAGTCATTTATGGTAATGTTGTAGCAGTCATTGCATAACTTAATCCTTAGGCCGGATACAGGAACCAGGCGCTATGACGTAATTGGGCGCAAACTTACGGCACTTCGTTTACATAGCTGGTTGAGGTCAACAGAGTATTCTGAGCTGATAACAAGTATCATTTTGATGGTCACATTCGGTACACAGACTGGAGGCGAGCTCTCCTCATCTTATACGACAGTTTTCCGAATCCTTTTTAAGCTCGACCCGACCGTTTCTAAGCCGTTCTAACGTGCGAAAACTGCTTCTTGAGCTGTCTGATGGACAAACTTCTACTAGCAAAACTTGAAAACGTTCCCTCTGATTGGTCTTGGGATACTTTGGAAAGTCCTCAAGGGAAGTAGACGGAACGTTAAAAGATCTCCTTCACTCATACAGTTCCTAATCGTCTGGATTTCTACTGCTAAGGATTTACTATGACAGGTAGATTAGTCAAAGCCCATTCAGCCCATTCATCTAGTCTTTCTCCTAGCCATTTACCCATTAGGTTGATTTCAGGTCACCGTGAGAATCAAATCAATTCGAGACGTCTTTGATTGACAGCCAGTGAGTAAATCTAGGGAAAGTAACCCAAAGTCATACCCTATTCAATCATTAGGTAATCCCATGTGAATGAAAATTTGCCTTAAAACTTATTTAATCCCCTCGAAGGCTCATATAAGCTCTCTATGCGGTAGCAGATTTACTGTAGCCAAAGTTTTTGCCTTCCAGAAGAAGAAGTCTTGAAGGGGGTCCTAGGGGCCTTACAATTACCCTTCATAGAAATGTCTTTATAGAGGATACAGAATAATGGTATTTGTTCAAGACGGTGACAAGCCGATAGCTTAGTAGGTGGCCATAGTGTTTACCCTTACGTCTCGACCTTCTCAACGCGTTTAAATCCTTTGTGATCCACCGACAAACCGACTTGTATTAGGTAATGGATTGTGGTCAGGTAGCTATCGTAATTTGGCACCGCTAGAGATCCATTTCACATGGGAATAGGTAGCACGAGGGAATCAGACTCGGGTCGGTCTGAACATGCAACTCACAACGCTCTCTGGAGTCACCAATAGTATTTTAAATGCCAGCCGCATTTTCCAAAACCTCCTGCGATCCTGATTAGAAGTTGGATGCACGGCGTACCCGAAAATAGTGATAGTACACCGACTAAACTTGCTATTTTTTGGCAAAAGTGTATACAATTAATGATGTATGATATGTAATCACCATAAAAATATATTTAAGAATAATATTAAAATATTCAATGGTTAAATGATCAATACACTCTGAACCGCTAGGGATCTGTTGCAAGTTCCCTAATCGAGGAAAATTCTATCCTATAATTCTATAAATTTCTATTCTACAAGTTCTAAAAAGTTTCTAGACGTCCTAAAATTAATCGCAGCCATTTCAGTTATTACTCTACTTCCCTACAGTACTTTTACCGTACTGGAAGGACACAGTCTGTCGCAAAAGGTAAACTATTCAGTTAATGGGCTGTTATTACCGGGGTGATGATTTATGAGCAAAACGTTGGGTGTTTGATAGGACTCGCATCTGAACCGGGTGATAGATAAGAGCATGGTGCTTTCCGGCCACCGTCTTCTTATCTCTTACGCGAATCACTGCTGCTCACCCGAGCACTGTGCTCTTATCAACTCTACCATCGAAGTAAAACAAACAGTAGAGTTACGTTGTATGATGGTGTGATGATTAAGTAACATAATGGAATAATAATAACTATAATAATCTTCTTCATAATAATTGTAAATGACATAACTTCAAAACACCCGTGAAATTATATCTATAAAATCATTTCAGTAAACTGCCGAGGTCTATGAAAGGCCGCACGTGGGGCGTGAACATAACTATCTGTCAAATAAAACTTACTTCTCGCACGGGAAATACCATGTGTCCCGGGAATAAATAATATTGTTACTATTATTTATTGTTATTATTTATTATTATTATTATCTCTGAAATCTCCCATCTCTGAAATAATGTGCAGAAATGCAAGTAACTTTAGTGCCGGGCAATAGATCATTTTGGAGCTATATAGGTGGAGTTCAGAGTGAAGAAGTGAGAAGCATTCGGTTGGCTCAAATTGTGAAACTGCAGCAATGGACAGAAAACGGACCATTATATCTATTTATTTGGGTGACAATATTGATTTGGGGTTGTAGAGATTCACCTTATCATATTGAAAAGTGTTACTTTCTGACCACAAATATGCTTAGGAAAATCAAACGATTGTTCAAATTCTTGACCTCAAAAACTCAAAACCTGAAGATTTTTGTGTTATCGGTACTTCATGGAAAAACTGCACTACCCAGGAATTCTGGTTGTGGGTGGTTTGCGGAACAAGTGGAATAGCTGAATTCAAAAGTGGCCCACTCACTACTTATTATAGTTAAACACCAATTCCAACTTTTCTTAGTCAATCGGCTCCGCGCAAAGGTGTCTTCATAACTACTAGAAGCAATGGAAGACGTAACCTAGGCAACCCGTGCTAAGCTTCATGATGATGACAATGATTTAAGCCATAGAGGTCAAGCCGTTTTGGTTGGGAGTAAACGAGTGGAAAGTGGGTCTCTACGGTTGATTGGAGTAGTCATGAGTCCAATCAACTGCATACGCGATTATTTCTAAGAGGAAATTCCATGGCGCATTCTCTAAAGACTTTCCACAGACTGTGTTCTTGCTTCTTATAGGCTTTCTTGGTTTTTTGAGCAGCTAGCTTGCATTTGACAGCACGGAACTGTACCAAACTAAAAGAAGAGGAGGGAAAAAGGAGATCTTGTCGGAGAATCTGCCGTGGTCTACTAGGTTGCCCTGATTCGATTGACGAATCGCCCTCTTTCGTCCCAGAAGCCGGATTATCCCAGGATTCACAGCATTAGTCCGTAACCTTTTCAATCATTTACGTTCACTAGGATCTACCGCATCACATTACCATAATCTATCATTGCTCTATTATAATTACCCACCTTCAGTGACATCTATGTACAAATAACATTTTTAATAGACTAATTTCAATATTCAATTCCTAACCCAGCTTCCCAGTTTTACGATTGCCCTGTATTTCCACCATTGGCACCCTGGCTACCGTATAGTCGGGACGAGACGCGTGGGCGTGACCAAGCCCGACCCCGCCCCTTGTTAATTGCGCCCGGGCGTCACCAGAGTTTTTTGGCAATTTTGGTACTATACCTTGTGTTTTCTCTAGCATAATCCCTCCCAAGTGCTATGATTTTATTAGACATTGAGGGATCACTTTGTAATCGAAAAAGTTTTTTGCATGACAAAGAAAATTCACTGTTTGAGTCTTCCTGTTGTGTGACCTCACCCATTTCTCCTACACATTCATTTTCTGCCATCCTCCTATTTGGGCAGCCCTTTTCTCTAACGCTTCGGTTGTTGTGCTCCATAAAAGAGCTTCCTGCCGGAAGCATCGACTTTTCAATGTCAGACTGAGATTTTGTACACTTGGGAGGGATTGACGAGGAGGAGGTTCCAAGAGTCTCTAAGGGAGTGAAAGTTCGTTGGGGTTAAACCAGGTGTATCTATCCCCTGAATATGACCCATACACATATATGATCCCACCCACATACACCTACTGACTTGTATGTATGTATGTGCATATCCTATTCATAGCTGTATACGCGCTAACCCAACTACGAAGCTGATTACTGAGAAGAGCTAAGCTTCTCATCATATCGGCTTAACTTTTATATCGGCCACCTTATGCATCATCCCATAGATCCCCTATCTAAATTCCTTATTTACTTGTTAGTCCTTCCCATCCCCCACCTTCCAGCCACGCCTTTCCCACTCTCGTTGATCATATGATCATTCTAAACACGAATATGATATTTCACTAAAAGCATTGACATTTCCATTCACATGGCTCAAAGCGGATTACGGTACGATTAATCGCCGTTATCCCTATTTCGCTGCCGTACATATCCCTCCCCCAAGGACGTATCCCCAACAATTCCCTGAAGGTTTTACATCCGGTACGATCAGTCGCATCATCCAGTGTTATACCATGAAAAACTCAAGCCGTTCAACAGCCGCTGCTTGTAAGCAATTGACATTTTTCTCACTTAATCAAGGCATTCTCGTATTCTGCAAAGGTTTCCTAATCCTTGACGATGCTAGGGCTTCATCAGCCACTATCAACATATCAACTGATTTGACTAAGAAGCCATCCGTTTCAGCCGACATGATACCGACATCGTCATTTCCACATTATACTTCGATTCCGCCATTCATGTCACAGACTGGTCTTCCCTACACGTCATTCGTTTTCCCGAATTCTCTGGCAAATACCAGAGCTACGACATCAGGAAATGCAAACGCCAGCAAGTGAGTTACCAGGTTTTTACCTTTGCGCTCTCTTTTTCGCTTCTTTCAGGTCTCTTCAGAAAAGGAAAAACCAGTAGAGCTACTCTTTACCCTTGACCAATCCCTAAACTTTCAAATTTCATGGTTCAGTCAACCTAATGCGCTGGACTACCTAAGCCTACAGCATTTACGTCACAAACCACAGGAGCCTTTTACATTTCAAGGGATCGCGAGAAGGCACCAAACACATACGTTTCAATAGGGTTTCTGCAGGTCGACCAACGTTCATTCCTTCGTCCATTTCTTAACAATGTCTCCTTTTCTCGGAACCAGTTGCTCAACAATAATGCTCAACATGTCTGAGCGATGGCGTAGTTTAGTTGAAAGTAGCAGCTCCCACGTGCTCCCAATGCTGGATGGAGGCCCAGAGAACCCATCCCTGTTTGGGATGCGGTTAAATGGAAAATTTTACCATAATCGATCCGCAATGAGCACTTTGTTCGTCTGTCATTTGCTAGGTACTCCCCTTTATCGTCGAAAAGTTCATCTCTCCAGCAACGATAGGATTTCTAGGCCAAAAAAGTAGATGCTGTGATCCGGCCCTATGTTTTCCAAAAACACACTACATACCGCTTGGATTTGACTAGTCCGGCTCTGTAGTATGGTACGAATTTGATTTCCAATTGAGAACAAGTAACTCTAAAATAATTACTAAGCATCAGAGAAGGCTCCTCAGAGTCAGTTTGTGTACGTGTTGGTGTTCTTGGCCTTCCGAATAAGTTTGGAAGGAACATCTCTCTAAGTCGGCTACGGGGAGGTTTTTTGAAAGCTTACCAAAGCTTCCTGATTCTGGAGAATTCCAAAGGAATGGCAGACTTAATTGTTCCAACAGTAAGCAGGGCCTTATCGTCCTATCTCTCTCTATGTGATGTTTGCCCGCTGGATTAAGCGTTAGATAGTGGTAGTACTGGCGACCAA